GGCAAGCACGGCGTTACATAAGCGCCCGTGGCCGCGGGGCACTGTCGAGCCTGGAGGTCACCTTTGTTTGGTGTGCGCCGCCGCACCTGGTGACTCATGCTATCCTACACTACGCAGGTGCTGTAATCGGTGCTGGGAATTTGAATTCGAGTGCGTAAAGCTGGGTGATACGGTGTGACACTTTGCTTACGTTATTATTATTTTTTTTTAGTTCAATGGTGAACGTCTAGTATCGCGTTATCTGGCATATTTCTCTGCGAAAAACAACCAAATGAATTGTAAGACGAACCAGGCTTACTTTTGGAGCACCGTTCCCAAAATATTAGCCGTTTGCATGTGCGCACTTCCCTGAGACGCTATGCGCTCGGGATACTGAGCGGACAGAGCAAGCAGTGCGGTGCAGTATACCCGTAGGCGTTTGCCTGGACAGAGCGAGTCATGCGGTACAGTATACCTGCAGGCGTTTGTCTCTAATGCCATCTAGCGGCCGCGATCTGCATCAGATGTCTCACGCTTTCGCTTATTGGCGGCTCAAAATAATCGTCGTGTCAGTGTGACCAAAGACTATATCTTTGAAGCTTAAGAGTGAGACGTCAGGTTGACTACATTGACTAGGCAAGGTGTTAGGCTAACCGCTAGAGGAAAGTAAGATTACGCCCAATGTCAAAATGACATTTAAATGATGACTTGCGTAGGCGTGGCAGCTCTCAATATTATTGCGCTGATAGCACTCTGGCAAAGCGCGTGCACTTGGGTTCAGGGTTGCTGGCAATAAGTCAACGAGCATGATGTTTCAGCTTGATTGGCAGGCTGGATATGATCGACTTGGGCTGGTAATTCTGGTTATAAAGGTATTTGCGCAGCTTTGTCACCAAGTTCTTCACATTTTACGATAGAATCGTCAGCCAGAGTTGTGCCGATCCATAACTACGGTACTTACTGCTTTGAATCGAGCTTTCTCCAGGGAGCTAGACGGTGGTTACCCGCCCCCTGGTCGCGAGCACCCCGAATCGCGTTCCCTCCCAGGCAGTTCGCTGTCTCACCCACCTTGTTGTTGGCGTCCATGACGGTCCTGTCGACCGTGTACGGCACCATCTCCGTCGTGACGAACGGCGAGGTGATGGTCGCTGCCGCCGAGTTCAGGCCGTTCCGGATCGTCTGCAGAATGCCGCCGCCCTGCCGCACAAAAAAGCATCGCGATGAACTTATCGTGTCGATGTTATAAAGTAGAATTAAAATGTTCCATTCGTACAAACATTTTCTGGGCTTGTTAAAGGGACTATCCCACCTTTAACATGAGGTTTGAGTTGAGATAGCCAAGTTTGCGGCGAAGTTCAGAAACCACTATCTATCTTGGTTGCAACCCCCGCGGCCTCTTGGTGTTGAAGAAATTCGTTCCCTTCATTTGAAAATGGGCCTTGTACAAGGCCCTATCTTCAACATGGAGCGACCGTTAGTGTGACGTCACCTCGTTTAGTCATTCTGATTTAAATGGTTTTGTTCGTTGAAAAATCGCTTAAAACTTGGTCTGAACTTTGTTGTGGTGCCTACAGAGTAAAAAGAATCAGCTTTATGACAGTAATGTGGCCTGGGGAAGGAGGTAATTTTGGGCTGTGACGTACATATTTGAAAGTTTGTGTTTGGAATATGGGAAGCCTAAGATGTTTAATGAAAAATAAATACCAGAACCGTGTTCCTGGTCATCCAATCTATAAAGTCGGGCACAATTTAACTGGTTTTAACAACATTTTAGAAGGTGGGATAGTCCCTTTAAAGGAAAAGGGCCACCTTCGTGAAATATGAAGATATCGTTGTTTTTCATTTTGACATTATTATTTTTCATTTTCTTTTTAAAACTGGTGCCAGAAGTGAAATTCGCGAAAAAGTATTTAAAACTATTTAACATATTGGTACTATGTTGATACTCTCTACGGCACCTACTGTATGATGGCATAGCGATGACGTCACACTCAAGCCAATCAGCGTTCAGAAGACAGACTCGTCGGATTGTGTCAGATAAGCTGATTGGTTAAAGCTGAGCTGGTTGGAGCTGATTGGTAAAAAACCAAAGCCTCGCCGCGGGTGGCTGTATTGTCGGATAAGAACGCATTCCTGGGATAAGGACGCATTCCTGGCGTATTTTCTTTTAAAATTGCCGATAACTACGAATGGAGGCCGAAATCGGCCGTAAGGAGGCAGACAGATAGGTTTTCGGACACGGGCTACAAGATGGCTATCTCAGTTTCAATCCCCGTGTTAAAGGTGGCCCTTTTCCTTTAAATACATGTGGGGTGATTGTATAAGGGAAAACTCACGATAGGCTGGCTCTCGGAGGCTGTTAAAGTGCAGCTTACCATTACTTGATTACATCACTATACATACACTACCGGAAGAAGAACTTTAAAAACTTCTATAGCGCCTGCCAGCTACGCCAGGGCGGGCAAGGACGGTAAGGTAGGTAAGCACGTGAGCCAGGAGTGTAAGGTTAACTTGTCGTGTTAAGCGGTTTGCTGGGCTAGCGTAACCAGATTGTAAGTGTTATGCCGTTGTGATAGTGATATAAAGTAAACTTTTGTCCGTTTTTCGGCTTCTCTCAAATTATCCTGGTGGTTGGAGACCTCACAACGGCATAACACTTACAATCTGGTTAATCTAGCCCACCAAACCTCCTAACACGACAAGTTAACCTAACACTCATTGCTCACCTGCTTACCTTGCCCGCCCTGGCATCCTTAGCCCACCGGCTTGCCCTGCTCCACCAACTCACCTGGCCCGCGTCGGCAACCCTAGATTACCTGGCCCGCCATCGCTCCCCTGGCTCCCTTTTACATACCTTAGCTCACCTGGCCAGCCATTGCTCCCTAGCTCCCCCTGGCTCCCTTTTGGCTCCCCTAGCTCACCTGGCCGGCCCTGGCTCCCGCTGAGAGCGCCATCACTATCACGACGTACAGACGCATACTGGGTGTCCTGTTGCTGGGCTCGATAAATGTGGCGCCGCCGCAGTCGGCTCTCTGATATAGCGTCCTCGTGACGGCCCGCCCCTGACCGCCCATTGGAGGCTGGCGGCTCGGACCGCCCCAGCCCGGCCGGTTATGTAACCGGCATAGAGCAGAGAGATGACTTGCTTCCCGGCAGTGCCGTGATGCAGGTAGAGGTAGGCATACGTAATTGGCGAATGGCGGTTATGTAAGTGGTTCGGGGAAATAAATATGAGTTGCCACTTTGTGTTCATACTAACAGAATGGTTTCCGGAATGCTATATCTTGCAAACAGTCGAGCAAATAATGGAGAAAAAAAAATGAGACGGAGCGACCTCGTAGTTTTGACGAGATATATTCAAAGTTAATAACGTGAATTAGCTTTTGTTTTGCATCAAGAATGCATCCATTTAACTGCGGCTTACGCTATCCTAATGCCGGCAGACCACAAGTAGTCTGCGTTGGGAAACAGCCTCTCCGTTCCCATAAGATTCCTCTCTGAATGCCAATGTCATCATATTTTATTTCTGGCAGCCTTTCGCCTCTCGGCGGGAGCCGGCTGTAAAACGCTGCTCTGCCGTCCGTTCCTCCGCCGCGGGAGGGGTGAGAGGACGTGCGCATCGCTGCAGCATCCGTGACATCACTCAGCTTCCGGCAGTAACGCGTCGCTGATGCTTATCACTCCCCTCTGCGGATGCAAACAAGGCACCTGCTGGTGCACAACTGCGTACCAATATACATGCAGGGTGTTCCAGAATCGACGGAGCACTGTCGATCAGCGTAGAGGATAGGAAAAAATAATTGCACTGTCTTCTTTTTATCACCCAATGTAGGTATGTAGTTGACGAGATGAGCTATGTAACGACGCATGCAATCGACACGCTGGTCACAGGACTAGCCAACACTTGTGGAGGAATGCTTGCCCATGCTGGCCTCAGTCCTTCCACAGGCTTCCCGAAAGTGACCTTATTAGTAGCCACTCTCCACCGAACTTCCGCCGGGATATATACCCAGGTATGCTACAAATACTCTGAATAAGATTAACGTAACTAATCCCAGGCCATTTCGCATCCTCTCAAGAAACAAAAACATCTTGGTCCACGGTCGCGTCGTGCTCGATGCATCTAAGATGGATCGCCTCCAATCTCTATGCATGGACATTTAACAATGAACATTAGCTAAACTATGTTTTAGGGCCTTGCGCTAAACCACACCACCTAAACAATTCGACTTTTGGCTTCGGAGCAGCTTTACTTCTGCAGTGACACGTTGAGATAGCCGAGCCGCTAAGTACCCGCATTTAATTTCCTGTGGAAGTTATCATCGGCGAATCAGCTTTCAGATATAACTCTTACCTAATGAAGACATAAATCAATATTTTTTACATATTCTGGTACATTTTTACGATAAAAGTAAAAACATTGAAATAGTTTAGGTACCTACTAACTATATAGAAGTACCTAAGATGAGTGGGTCGAGCCGAGCCACATATGAACAGCATAGCGGATGACGAGCCCTGAAATGTTTGGTAAACTGAGGCGCTATATGTAGTCAACTGGCTTTGCGAGAGGGGAACTTTGGTAATTGCCGACATGCCAATCTCACTCTTATCATCTATCGGCCATAATTCCACTCGATGTTTCAATTGAAAACGGTTTACTTGCTCACTTGACTTATTGACTTCATCATCTTGTTCTCAGCGCAGTTTTGTTTTGGCCCACACCATCACTGCCTATACTGATATCTCCAGTCCTGTATCAATCGATCCGGGAAACCGTTTAAATGAGACTTACAATGCGCGCAGCCTATGTGCGTTATAAGTTTGCGTAGTTTGTTAGTTAGGCTTCCCGGTCAGGTTTAATGCCAATAGATGAGGGTGCAAAGGAAGTACATAGGCATAACTTTGAACCCGTCAAGGTAGTAAACAAACCTGATACCTTCCACTAAATCAGCGTTTGGTGCGCAGCATGCCACCGCGCGCGGACCTGCGGGTCATAACCTAGCCTGCAGATGCTCGGCGTTCACTATATAAGCCCTCCGTCCGCGAATCTGCAGACCAAAGCACACAATTGACGCATCGAGAACCTCACAGAACGAGCAGACGGCGGGATGAAGCTGCTGGTGAGTGGGCACTACCGTCGATGGCGTGCTTCCTCGTTTAGGGAATTTTGTACCTATCAGTTGAAATAGGCGTTATGATCTTCTGTAGAGTTATTGTTTGTATCTGTAGTAAATTATCTGCAATATAGTTTTGCTCACCAGGATAAATAAACTGAACAATTGTATAAACTACCGTCTATTGATGCATCAAATACATATCTTTAGTTGATAAAGCGACGAGTATCTTCACCCCCTGTGTAAACACGCTCTTTTGGAATAGGTATGCCTTGTAATTGACCTTGTCCTGACCTCGTCTCTCACCAGGTGATTTTTGCGCTGGTGATGGTGGCCGCGGCGGCTCCCGCGCCGCAAGAGACGGCCCAGGTGAAAATTCTGAAGGACGAGCGATCCATGGAGGGTGACGGCAAGTTCAGCTACGCCTGGGAGTCCGAGGACGGCAGCATGGCCGACGCCATCGGGGAGAACAAGATGATCGGAGAGGCGTTCGGCGTGGCCATGAGCGGCTCGTACTCGTTCCAGGCGCCCGACGGCAAGACCTACGAGGTGACGTGGACGGCCGACGAGAACGGCTTCCAGCCGGTGGTCACGCAGCCGGAGGAGTGAGCTGCCGCCGGCCCGGTCGGCGGTCAGAGCCCGGCGGTGGTGGGGACGGTGGGCCAGGGACGGGCGGCAGTGCCGCATCTGTGGGACGCGTCACCTTCCAGTGCATCCGGGAACGGAGTGATCTGTTTGTGCTATGTTCCTCTGTGTTTTGATGTTTTGTTTGTGTCATAATATAGGTACCTACACTACATACATGTGACCATGCTGTATTGTTGCATTGGTAATGGATCCGCAGTGCTATGACTATACCTATCTTATCACATAAAAATGCCGCCGTCGATAGGTGGCATGAGAATTAGGTAGGATAGGATAGGAACTTCCTCTCTAGTAGTATTTTAGTTTCCTAGGCATGACAGCCGAGCACTTGGCAACCGTCTCACTTGCCACTTGCCAGACAATTTATAGGGGAGATCCGTGTAAGACGCCCAGGGTCGGTAAGAGGCCCCATCGCTTTTTTTACCAAACCAATAATGTTATTTATTTTTTAATGTTCTTGTAAAGCAGAAGCCCTCTTGAAACAACAACTCACGAAACCTGAGGTATCAGGTGCGTCGCAGCGACTTTTGGTAAGCCTGTTTCTGTTTTTGCCCCTTTACTTGCTAGATATATGCATCTTTATCACCCTTATATATCTGAAAAAACAATGACTATCAAATGCAATCTTATCTCATCGAAATTGTCACATGTTAGCTTCAGAATAGACCATGTTCTGGTGCGCTGCAAATGTCTCATAAACCATAAATATTGTGACGTTAAAACACTGCATTTTTTTAAGAGGCCCTCCCTTCGAGGATTATAAAACGCCCCCCCCCCCGATAAAAAACGCCCCCGATGCTAAAACGCCTGCACCTGCGGCAGGCGTGGCATTCTTTTTTCAAGGAGTTTGTTTTTGTTTCTTTTTTTCTGTTTCTTTTTCTAGAGGTAATAGGTACAATTTTCGTTGGTCATCAGCGTTTGGTTGTGCTAGTTTTCGCATTTTTCGAGCACTTTGGAAGTGTTATTGGTTTCGATAACACCGTATTTGCTTAGCTTTTCGAAATAAAAGGCCTTGCAGCTGTGTTCGCAAAACGTCTTTTACAAGTCGACTTGCCTTGTTAAACGCCCGAGGGGGGGGGGGGCGTCTTACCATACCCATAGTGTAAGAGGCCCTTTTGCAACTTTTTCCAAAATGTTAAAGTTTACGGTTTGTGTACCCCCTAGATTCATTTTGAATGCAAATATGTATGGGAAAATGATGCATGCTCACAGCGCATGCACACGTTAGCTCTTAAATATTATCAGTTGTCTGAAAATAGCAACTGAGCTTAAGGGGGGGCCTCCTGCACCACTCTCCCCTAGGCAAACTACTGAGGGGTGCATCATGTGTTTTTTTCACTACTCCCAAGATTTTGTACCTACATAATATGGGGAAGGGGGATATAGGTAGGGTAGCATGGGGCAAGACGCCCCAGATAATTTATTTTGCTATATAACTTTTGTCCCACATCACCTGGAAGACCAAATTTGTGCTTAATGCGTACTTTGGACATTTTACTTTAAATTGCACCCCTCAAATTCATTCACTTATGATCGGACTCCAAGCTAGGAAGTGATTTGTGAAGCAACTGCAAATGGGGGATTTTGCCCCAACCCCAGGGCAAAACGCCCCACGGCCTGGGGCAAGTAGCCCCATACTTTAGATAAAAGGTTAAACATGGTAGTTGCCTAAATCTTATGCGAGAGGTCCGTTAGACCTCTGGAGGCACGGCACTGAACTTAGCATATTCCATCCTATCCGGGCCCTGTTTCACCGCCCGACGCTGCGCGCGCTGCAGCGCGCTGGGAGCTGATGCGTACCCCTGACGTCACTCGAATGAGGTTGCGTGCGATCCGTTAGCTTATGGTAAATCGCGTTTCGAACAGAGCCCTTGAAGAACCTAATATCAATTGAACAGAAGTTTGAATGCGAATACTGCTAGTGTGCGGATGGTGCTTGCGCCGCGGTGCTAGCGTTTTGCGATGACGTCATAGCGTAGCGTCAGAGGGAAGTTTGTTGATATTGCCATGGAAACCCAACGCGCCGACGCGCTCCGCCGTGAAACAGGGCCCAGGTGTTCAGCTCTATGACACTATATTATGAGCAGGTTTTTCACCTGCCTCATAAGGCAAAATAATAAATTATTGTAATGCAAATGTTAACAAAATCCTACTTCCTTTGCCATCCAGTTGCTGAGAAAAATACATATAAAGGCATAGCAACTTACTGTTCGCTAGCTACCGAACATAAGAAAGTGGGTAGTCCGAATAACACATGAGGTAAAAGGCCCCATGGCCCATGGGGCTTTTTGCCCCGCGACCTACTGGGGCGTTTTACCCCATCACGTAGTTCGGTCAGAGAACAACGCCTTGCGGTCCAGCAAAACATATAATTTAACACGAACCAGCCCGGCATTATAAACGTTAGACAATAGTTGTTCAAAATACATAAAAGTCGTTAACCTGATGTGAACCATAAAATAACGCCATTATGCATAATCAGACAAAAAATCATAAAAATCACTCCCAAAACACATTTTTGGCTATATTTCCCTACCGAGATACTTCACAATTTCTTACCAGCCTGCTCATATAATGATCATATATACCTATAGTGTACGTTTTATTGAGAAGAGATGATGTTTTCCCAGAACCTTGCCAGTTCCGAGAAATATCGGTGAGGCGTTTTACCTCGGCGGGGCGACTTGCCCCGGTCTACCTTACACACAGACCTGCACCAGGGTCCAGGGCTAAGCACGTCCAAGGGACGTGGCCGGTGGGATTGTAGAGCTAAGAGTAGATATGGCATAACTTATTTTCGCTCGGTCGGGTCGCGTAGCCGCGCCGCGAGACCAAACCGTTCAAACTTCAATGTCATTGCGAACGTGTTCCATTGGTTATTTTCCTCGCGAGCTCGCGCCCGATTCATGATAGATTCACATTCAACGTGAACATACTAAGCCGCAAAGAGTCGACTTCGACGGCCTTGAGGGAAAAATGGCTTAGACCGCTTGGCATAGGCGCGGGAACCGGCCGGGGGGGGGGGGCAGTAGGGGCAGCTTGCCCCCTCCCCAACTCTGGGGCCGCCCCCACAACTTTTAGGCGGAATACCGTACTTTTTTTGCAAATGTTTTATTTTTTTGTGAAACAAAACGCAAAGGAATGAATAATAAGTGGCCAGGGACCCTCCCACCTTCAAAAAAGTTAATGAATTGGCATGAAAGTGATGTCGCTCGGTTCAGAAAGAGCAAAAACGAATATCTACCAAATTCCATCGAAAAATATTCACCGGTTTTCAAGATATTGGACTTTAACTTTTGTTTACTTTTTTGGGATCTCCGCTGTTCCTACCGACTTTATTTGAAAGTGCGGCATTTGTTGCGCGCAAAGCAGCATATACCACCGCGTGCTACAAGCATATTTACGTCTGGACAACGAGTTGCGTTGGAGAGGCCGGAAATAGTGGCGATTTCAGGACCGCAAGAATGGACCGTCATTGGAATGATTCTTTTTTAAACCGTGCACTGTTTTCGGCCGGAATTTAATAGTTACTACAAAATATTTTGCAATTACGTTTCCACCAACAATGAATGCCATCAGGGCTAAATTTCTAATACTATTGCATTTTGTCAAGAAGCATATAGTGCTGTTATATTGCAGTTTTAGCGCGTTTGTTACAAAATATGATGCGAATAAGCGTCAGTGTACTTCATCAACAGTGCCAGAAGATAACTTGAGTTGGACGCAAGAGCCACGCTGCTACGCGCCCTAACCCAGAACAACAACAAGATAACTTGAGGGAAAGCTATGCTAATTGCTCTTGTCCATCCACTAAAATTTATTAAATATTTTGCTTTGTGTATTCCAAAAGGAGAGGGAACTATTTCAATTTCATTTGTGCCTTCATGTCAGAATTGAAGGTGGATCATTAAATTTTCAACGCAGTTTACAAACAAGCATTTGGTCTTTCTCGTTTATAAGCAGTGGCTAAGAAAAGGTTGATCAATCCTGAAGTTCAGTCATCATACCTCAACTTTGCAGCAAGATCCATGAAGGACAGAGGATATATTGTAAACCTGTCCTGTTAATCGAAACATTTTTGTGCCTTCAAAGGCTTAAGTTATCTGTGGTGTGTTCGGAGTTAGGCTATATGGCCGTTTTTGTTGTATGTTTATGTGGAGATTGAATATAACTGTGACCCTGTGCTTGTTTGTATACTTACGGTCAAACAGGGAACAGCACATTCACATAACATACTCTAATCTACTCACCTAGCACCTAACTCATAGCTGTACCCTGCAGGATCTGTACTTGTTCATGTCTCGAGCATTAACAAAGCACTAAAGTAGCTTAGTAATCATTTCCCACATTTTCTGAGCATCTAACATGACATACAGCAGTGCAGAGCAGCTTCAGAGAAGAAACACTTAAAATGCACAGACTCACACCAGCCACCCAATGAGCCAGTTCCTCAGTTGACTGTTTCCCCGGACACAGCTTGGCAATGTGAGCTAACATTTGGCAAGTTGAAGGTTAGCAGGTAAGATTGAGTTAGGGTGAGTACCTACCTATAACTGGGTGCTACTGCCATGCAGGTCTTGGGTAGGCTGCAAATATGTGTGATGATTGAGGTTAGGTCAGCTGTCAGGTTAGTCAGGTTCAGGTATGCTCATTGCTCAGGTCACATTTTTATGGACATTTGGCAAATTAAAAAACTAACAATCTGATCTAAGCTAACCTGACTAAACATACACAACTACTGACTATAGGAACTGAGCACCTACCTACTTGTGCCTACATCTCATACCATGTCAAAGTAGAGTTCCAATTGGTGGAAGATTACCCTCAGTACTTTTTATCCTAGCCCTGTGAAGAAAACTAATACTTCTAAGCTCTGAGTCACTGCTGGCCATCCACAGGAAGAAAGGCTGAGACTGAGAGCTTTGCCATTGTATAGGCCTGTACACATTCAGCTGTTGTGCTGTTGTCAGCCGAGAAACGTTCACCTTATTGGCTGAAAAATTAATGACGTCATGTTGCACTTGCAACATGACGTCATCTCTCTGCTGACGGCAGCATAGGCTGACGAGCTGTGCTGCCAGGAGAAAGCAAGTGCAGAGATGCCAAGCCGTCAGCAGAAGCCATAAATGACGCATTTAGACACTGGTAGTGGCG